TGAGAAGATATAGAAAGTGGCATTTCTCAAACTGTGAGGCTGGCCTCCCTGGGGAGACTCTGACCTCTTCCAGAGATACAAGCCAAAATCACAAAAAAAGAACAGACATCAAACTGTGTGGAGTGTGTGTGTGTGTAGTTTGAAAAAACATGACACCTTTATTTCTGGGATGCTTCATCTTTAAATTTCTAAGCACTACGCTTCTGAGGAGTGTGAAGGACCGCACTTCTAAGCATTGTACTGTGCTTAGCCCTCAAACACATCATCATAGAACGAAAAAGAAGGGACAGATATGGTGACCCCCTGCTCATTGCCTCTTTCATTTTTTTTTTTTTTTTCCTGGTTAATTCTTCTCTTACCCTCCTTTTCCTCTCCAGCATTGTTAGCAAAGAGTAAAGAGCAAGGCTTGGGTTCAGTGAAATTTGGGATGCACCTTCCTAGATTCTTCCAGTCAGCAAGGTAGGGTTGACCTGAGCTGAACATTAAATCCACACTATTATGTTTGATAGCAACCCATAAACTAATCCTTCCTAAGGATCTGTGTATCTAAGTGCAGTCTATCTGACTTTGCTGCTCAACACCTTTATTTCCTTTTCTGGAGACATTAAGATACTGATCCTATTTGGAAAGGATTCTAATCTCTAATTAAAAAAAAAAAAAAAAAAGGAAATCATACACATCCTATTTATATTTATATGAAAACAATATAAATTTTAAAACTAATTAAAAATACTGCTCTTTATGAAAAACTTTCTCATTATGAAAACTGTCATAAAAGAGTATAAATCAAGATGACAGAGAAAAAACAGAGGATCAGTATTTTCTTCTTTGCTAAATTATTCTCTTAAAAGTTAACAGAAAAAACCAAATATTTACAGAAGGATGAAATGTGGAACCAGAGACAGTCTCCCAAGGATCAGTATGGAAGAATCTCTTCGCCAGCAATGGATTGGATTATGAATGCCGAAGTGTTGATAGAGTTGAAACTTTTGAGAGATATAAAAGGCAATGAAATAGGTTTCTACAGGTACACTTGGCAACTAAATGAAGACCACGAAAAATGTGGGACTGATGCTGAAAGGAGTGAGTGGCCTAATGATCAGGAACACAGAAAAGACTAATATTCTCAACAACAGGTAGATTTATACAAAATCATGAGGATTAGTATCAGGTTTTCTCTGCATTCAATTACAACAGAAAAGGAAAAGGAAAAAGTTATGCTGCCTTCTTTCAACTTTTAGAAAAGTTTTATTTTGTTTCTATCCAGACTTGATGCTTGTTCTCAAGTACAATATCTCTCCCAAGAAGAACGGTGATTTTGTTTCAAAAGATTTCTTATCACACTTTTCAGTTAAGTCTTAGTCATAATACACAAGAGAGTATTAGAGACTGATGTCAAGCTGCAAAGTGCTATAAGCGTGACAAGTCTTCACTTTAATTCTCAGAATTGATTTCCTTTTGAGGAGGTGTGATTTCCTTCTGTCTCTACCCCTTGGCATTTACTGACTAGGGAATGTTTCATATTTTCCCCCTATTGAGTAGCAAATGGCATCTAGTACTATTCCTGAATAATTTTTTTAAATGCTACTTTAACAGCAGGAAGCAATTAAAGAAGATATTAGTGAACCAGCTGCACAGATACACTGCTACTTATTTTATAAGACAACCAGGCAAAATATAAAAATAAAACCACTGAAAATCAGTAAAACCTTTGAATCTGCCCTCATCTATCTCTGAACATCCACAAAACCCAGGTGAACTTGGATTTTGATTCTGCTTGCTGTAAGGATACATGTAAACTCTGAAATTTCAAGTAGGACTTGAACTAAAAAATGAACAAAGAGGTTTAATTACATCTTAGTCCTTCGTCTTATCTACATAACATACATATATTTTTGCATTATAGTACATTTATTGGAAACTGTATTTATTCTTTTTTCTTAGTATATATTTATATGTTGGGGTTCTTGGTGAACAGAGGCAAAACCCCACTTTTTTGAAATCCAGGAATAGGTTTATTTGTGTTTGACCTTGGAGTCCTTGACTCTGTAATGAGCACCTCTGCCAAGAGGAAAAAGCTGCGAAGTGAAAGTCAACATCAAAAAATCAGAATGGAAATTACTGAGTTAACAACAGAGAACCAAGTGAATGTCTCCAATCCAGTTTCTTAGAATAATTAATGCCTCTGAAAATGGATCACTGCAAGCATGACATTAAAGTATTTTGGCTGTTTAGTCTAATACATCAGCAGCAACACCATGTCATAATAAAAAATTGCAGAAGTAAATTAATTCAGACCCTTAAAGTCATAATTATGCCTGGGCATGAACCAGAATACATAGGTAAATGACTCCAACTCAAGAATGGCAGTGCCTAAAAGCTGTCCCTTTGTAATGATTCACGATGTGTAAAATTAGGAACTCAGAGCCTCCTGGCAGTCAAGAAAAGTCATTAAACATTCGTGGGGAGTGATCCTGGGAGTCCTCGTGCTGCAGAAAGTTACTTGCTGTAACTTAGAGATATGTGACCTAATTCCTTCTTAGTTTGCTCTAAATGGTTACAAATGAGTGTACGAAGTCCTGAGCACTTCCTGGAGGTGGATCATCTCACTAAGCAGAGCTCATTCTTCGTAAAAGGCTGTGCTGAATAATCATACAGTGTTACAGTAGTTGATTTACAAAAGCTCTAACTCAGGAAAACAGGTCATCTGGGCTCGGATTTAAGTTCTAAACCAATGCCTGCTTTGGTGGTTGGCAACCCTGTCCACAGCAGGGGGGTTGAAACTAGATGATCTTTAAGGTCCTTTTCAACCCAGGCCGTTCTACTAAAACATCTACTTTTAGTTGTCTACATGGGAGCTAAAGGCTCCATTTAGTTGTATAAATATTCGGTTCATTCTAAAACCAAAAACAGACAAACAAAAAATAGATAACTAGAAAACTAAATGCATAATTATTTTTCATCAGGAGAAGCAATTTATAGTCCATTAAATGCCTTGACTAGCTTATCATTATCTATAACAGGAGCTTTTAGAGTGGCCTGCAGCTACACATAGGCAGCTGAATTCAGGAGTCTTAATCTGCAAGTTTAACTCTACATGAGGTTTCCACTTGCTCAGCCTGAAGGGATCCTGGCCTTGATCAGCTCCTGCAACAGAGACTAACCTACTAATCATGGTGCAACACAGTTCCAGGTGATTGATGCAAAGCAAAGAAAATCAAGGTCAGAGGGAAGCAGGGTGGAAAGACCCTTGTTCTGGTAGAAAAGACTGGGATCTGAGGGTGAGTAAGGGACAGAGAGCATGACTCTATGTTTAGTCACTAATACCTGCTGTGTGTAACTTGGAGCCCTTGGGTATGGTCTCCAGTTTGGTATTGCATTGTTTATTAATCCAGTGGCTATCTAATGCAGGTGGCAGGCAAAGATCTGGCAACAGAAACACATCTCCCTTCATTGTCTCACCTGAACCAGCAAAATGTAGAATCCTTTCTGTTTGACGTCTTCTGTGTTTCTCCCAACCATTGTCCTACTTCTTACACATCCGGTTTCAAGAGGATAGGATAGAATACAGCCTGATCCGATCTATGCTGTAGTTAATATACTCTCCTGGGATGCCAGTGGTGATATTCTGAGTAAATCTCAAAGCAGAATCCTACCTTTAAATTGCCTATTAGTCTGCTATTTTGGAGCTTAGTCTATGAACTTTTTCCTGTAGCAGGTGAAATATTTTGAATGATATATGAGAAAGCCCTTGGGTAAAAGATACATCATGAATAAATGATAATGGTCAACATGAAAGCCTAGTCACAGGAAGTATTATCAATCAACATGAGTGACTATTGAGAGAGATTTAAGGCTGAGACTTTTAAAAGAGCATAAGCAATCCATTTCCCTTCAATTTTCAGCAAGAATAGAGGAGATATATATATAACCTAAACAGTTTTAAAAATCCTAGCCTAAATTCTCAACAGAATAAAAAATACAGGACTTGATATTGCATCCTGTTGCTCATAGAAATGGGCCAATGTTGATATGTGTATTCCTTGCTTTATCAGACCTTCCTGCATCTTAATATCTCTGGAGAACTGATTCTGTCAGGAGGATTCTGATCCTGACCGACTGTTGCCATGGTATTGGGTTATTCTGGGCTGTGATCAAGAAGAGCAAACAAACTTGAAAAAGAAACTAGCTTTAAACCATATTCTCAAACCACAGTGCCTTAGACTAGGTTTTGAAAACTAAATCTTTATTTTTGTACAATATGACACTTATTAAATAGTACCAGAAAAACATACTGATAACCAGAAGCATTGCTGTGACAATAAATACATACAGAAATAGAGGAGAATGTAGGAGGAGAAAATTTGGCCAATTCTCACACTCTTTGAAATAGTTCATGTTCATTTAATAGTATTATCCTGCACTGAACTGAAACCCCCAGCTTCCCTGAGAGCATTTGAAAGGGCAGAACTTTTTGCAGATTATATTCCTGTTTTATTAGGTGCTTTTCCAAAGCTGGTGGGAATCAGTGAATGTCTTTTTTGATATTACTGAGGTTTTGAATTGAGTGCATAATAAGGAGTTTATACCTGTCTCCTATCCCTAGATAGTAATATAGCTCTTCGTTTACACCTATTAGTGTTCATTCAATTGCAGCTCATCTATGTGTTCTGAAAGTGCTGCAGAAGTTTCTAGAAATAAACAAGACAGTACTTTCAGTATGTAGATACTGGCATAATAAGTTCGTACTCTTAGCGGACAGATCTTCCTTGATGGGAAAAGGAAAAAAAAAATGTTCCTAAGATAAATCCTGGTAGTGTATTATCCAGAATGATGACCCCGGAATAGTGCCCAAGTTTCAGCAAGAAGTATTTAAGAGAGTAAAAAAAAAGCCAATATGAAATTACGAAGGGAATGGGGGAAGTTTTCAGCAAGATCATTATTTACAGATGGATAATTTTGTCTGCCGAATTACTGAGCATGTTCTTTCTATTCCACAGGCAGAATTCACAGCCATGAGGGACCAATACATGAGGGGCGGAGAAGGCTTCATTATCTGCTATTCCATCACAGACCGCCAATCTTTTCAAGAAGCTGCTGAATTTAAGGAACTCATTTATCGTGTCCGGCACACCTATGACATCCCCTTGGTGCTGGTGGGAAACAAAATAGATCTTGAAGAATTTAGACAGGTAAGCAAATCCTCTGCTGTTTCTGGTTTGGTTTTCCTCGATTGCCTCAAGGATTTCTGTAGCATATGTTGTACAGTACTTCTGAGAATCATTAGCACAAGATAAGGTTTAATCAAAGAGCAACACACAAGGGCTGGTAATAAATTAAGGACTTAGCAGTACTTTTCATTAATATGTTATGGATCTTAAAGTAGCCTTGGCCAATCACATCCATAGGTTTTTTTGTTTTACTTGAAAAGTAAAACTATTTTTGTTGCAATTTATATATATTTTTTCGACATGGAAAAAGATTCAGTCAGAATCTTCATGGCAAAAAAAAAACCTGTTTTCTTTGAAAGTTACCAGCTATTAAACATAGATCTTATTTTTTTTAATAAATGTACTAGATTTAATTAAAGGTTTCTCCAGCTCAGACTGAAAAATATTCTATTACACTAGACAAATCCATATGACATTTTCTTTGCCTGAAAAGCCAGTGTCTGTGTTATCAGAGAGTTCAGACAAGATATGGACACACGAAACTTGAATTCACTTTGATTTGTGTACAAAAATTTGAGCCACCACCACTCATAGAGCAATAGATTTCTTTGACTATGAGGGTATTGACTGTGGCTCTGTCAAAGTCTTTAGTAATCTTTGCTCACTCTTTTCCTCTTACTTCCTCTCCTCTTACTTCCTCTCCACTTCCTCCTTGTTATTTGTATATTTGTGTGTGTGCAAGGGAATAAGTTAGAGAGAGACCATCATAGAAATGCCTTGATTGTGACCTGTCATTGAATGGAAAATATCCTTACTGTTAAGCAGAAACTTTGAAAAGGGGAAAAAAAAAGAGACTTCCCTATATGGAAATCTTAAGAGGCTCTTTATACACACTACAATTGCTTTCAATTGCCTGACTTCTGTGCAGACATATGTAACAGTTAAATAAAATGGTGGTTTTCAGTTCATTAGCATCTGTGCTCACATGATACTGTCTTCTCTTTTCCACTTATCTTGTCACTCTTCTTCCCATTTCTTTGTCTTCTTTCTTCTACCTGAAGAGAATCCAAGGCAGTGTTAAGCCTGAAATTAGTCCTGAAGATCTAATGATGTACATTTAAAACTTCGCATGTGTTCCCAGATCATTGACTTTCTCCCTAAATCAGACTGTGACAAAACCTTAATGGTGATAATCCAGTTGCAGTTTAACACACAGCTTGAAACTTCAAACAACAGTGCCATGTGCAACATGGAGTACAATCTGTGCAGCTTCTGGGGTACTTACATACCAGATGGGGGAGGGATGTGGATTCAGTTGTTCTGCCGAGTGAACAGGACATTGCACCTGATCCCGACAGAAATAGCATATGATTGATCACCTACAGTTACCTATAGATGAGGTTTCCGGGAATGTTCTAGGCAGTAAGTGATGAAGACTCTTGAAACAGAGTTATATTTAACACTACCTCTTCCTGATTTTATGTTTTGTTGGGCATTAATATCTTAATCACTGTTAATGCATATTAAAATATATATGCCTGATTTAATTGTTTTACATGCTCCTTGATGATCTTGCCTGGTCTCCAAAAAAAAAATAAAAAATCAGTGCACATCGGATATTGCAAATAGCATTCAAGATTAAAGGGCGTAGGGAGGCTTTTAGGAATTAGAAATTATGCCTTTGAGATGTGACAGACAAAAAAAATGTTTTTTTCAGAGTCAAGGTTGTTTCTGAAGATCCTGCCTGAATGTAAATCAAGGCAGTTACAAATCATGGTCTTAATTGGGGTTTTTTTTGTTGTTGTTTTTGTTTTTGTTTTTTTTTTTTTTTTTTTTAACATTTCAGTGAGGCAGGGTTTAGGTCTTTAGAACCTCTTCCTCCATAAACCCTCTACAACTGTTAACAAACACAGCAATGTCAGAAGGGTTTTCTCAAATATTCTGCAATCCAGAGTCTGAGACATGGGACACCCTTAAGTCAAAGACTAGTAACATAATACAGTGCAGATCAGCTCTGTTGAATAAACCACATGAATGTCTACCTCTACATGAGCAAGTAGCATGAGTCAGCAGCAGTAGGACCTTAGAACAAAACAGTTTATTCTGAAGTCCACATTTTGGGAATTTGTTTCTAACTTTGGACAAGCTTTACTCCAGGGCCATTGTCTCCAGAATTAGCTGATGCTGAGGTGTAGAAATTGTGCTCTGGGCGCGTATCTTCACTTAAATTTCATCCATATTACAGGTGATGCTCTCAGAGAGCACTCCACAATTCAAAGCAAAGCATGGTTAAATGGAGGTGATTAGGAGATAGTGTTCAGGGTGCCTCTCTGACCTCAACTAAAGCACTAATGCCTGGGAGGTCATCTCTGTGCCCAGCTTTAAGCACCTGTTAATGGACTTCAGCAGCTCATTATTTCAGAACTGGGAGGTGAGGCTGTCCTGTATGTTTAACAAACACTGAAATAAGTTGTATCCATGTTTACCAGTTAGGTTAAGCAATATCTAAGTAACTTGATGAACTGTGGCAAGGTAGATTGAAAGGAATATTTTCATGTACCATAGTTACTACTTCATTAAAAGCACTTGGATGGTCAAGAGTGGTAGCCAACTAATGATGGGGTAACAGCAATCATTTGTCAGTGTATGGCATTAGCATAGCAATGAATAAACAGTGAGATAGACAAACATATGAAATTCAAACAACTGAGAAATAGTAGGTGTCAGAACACAATTAGCTGGATTGTAATTTGGCCAGGGCACCAGGGTTAATATTGTTGCTTTGTTTAATGACATTTTTCTCCTATGAAATTCAGTAAAGCTACTGTAATGTTATTCATGGTATTTGGAAGCATAACATTAAGTTCAACATTCCTGGTCATCATTTCCATTTAATGACAATTCTGCAACAATCAGACAGGCTGTAGTAGCTCAGTCAGACAAAACTCTCATTTGAAATGCAATCCCCTACACAATGCAATTAATGATGTATGTCACTTGCCTCAAATCTATCAACAGGACTACAAGAATAAAACTAATCTGCAATTAAAATTTTGTGCTAGGAGAAACACTGCTGAAAAACAAAACCAACAAGCTTATTATTTTTAAATAATATTTTCATTTTCTGATGGCTCCAGCAAAATTATTGTTGTCTTTAAGTATGCCTGTCATTTTTAATGTCTTAAGAAATTGATTTGTCTGTATTCCTTCTTAAAACAAGTTTTAATTACATACATCAGCCCAAAGAACAAACACTTTCCATTTTCTCTGAAACAACATGGGGGAACAACTGTGAAACAACTGTGGGGAAAAAAAAAAATATAATAACTCATTATCCTGATGTACATATTCAGTCTGGTGGCAAGGCTCCCTCCATCCTGCATTCCTCTCCCCCCATTTGTACTGCAGCTGCATCTGGTCCTTTCTGACCCTGTTCCATTTTGTGTGATTAGTAAGATTCACTGGGAAAGAGAACGGACATGAACGGTTAAGGCATTCATTTGTGTTCATTCCTTGAGTTTCAGACATTGCTCTAAGAAATATTTAAGTATTTTATGTATTTTATCCTATAGCTCTTTGATGTAAAAACTAGAGCACTAAGTGCTTGATTAGATGTCATTTTAATTTCAGTGTTTTCTAATATTAAAGTCATTATATTAATAAAGATAGGCTGTATATGTCTTTGAATGTCTTTAGAGTTTCAGAAACATCTAGGACCCGCTGATATGTAGTACAGTAGATATTTTTACTTCAGGTAAGCTTTTTCACTTTGCCACAGATCAACATCTGGCTCTCACTGAAGATTAAAATTTGTATAATGGGTAAATATCTAATTAAAACAAGTTCATCTTTAAAAATGACAATAAACAACTGACTTTATTTGGGCTCATGCCATGCAAAAGCTAAATTGCAGCTTTTAATTAAAGTATTTTATAATAAAGACATGTAGCACTGCTGAAAGATTGAAAAAAATATTCAAAAGACTTTGCCTACTGACCATTACAATATATTATATTTATCAATTCAGAGGGGAACTAGCTACATAAGACCCTCTGAACAATGTGTTGTAGCTCTGAGCTGGAAAGAATAGATACTTCCTAGCAGTCTTTTTCAAACTTTTAATGTAGATGTCAGAAGTCCTTTGGAAATTTTACCTACATAGAAATAGCACATCCTTCATGGAGCAGTTTTTCCTATAGGCTTTTTTTTTTTTTAACCCCAGAGGAACAAGCTGTGAGCTCAGTCGAGTCCACGGATAACATGTTGATGTCCGTTGAGTCCAAGGTTACAAGGGCAGCTCACACTTCATTCAGCTCTTGGCCTCTCTGGGAAGCCTGTCATCAAGGTTGTTACCTTTGCCAATATAGTGTTGGTCCTGAAAAAAAATATGCAGTTGTTTACCCCTCCACACGAGTTGTCTTATTGGCTTCAAGCACAAATATGAGCAGTAGAAATGTTTTTGAAAGTATTTTATTCCTTTTCTCTCTCCCTACAGCCTCCCTCCTTCAGTAGGAAACATGAAGTGTTTCAATATGAAAACTGTCTTTAACACGGAACAATATCTTACTTGGAGTGCAAATTAATTACAGGGGCTTTTTTATCGTTCCTTTCTAAGGTTTTATTATACCATAAGATAATTCTCAAACCAGGATTACAGTGGCTCAGTATATTTCCATGATCTGAACCAGGTGCCTGCAGAACATTCTCACTTTGATGAGGTTTTACTCTGGAATTTGCTCAAGATGGGCTGACTGGTTACCAGATATTGTGTGCATCAACTTTTAGATTTCTCATTTTGACAGTTGCTCTATTTTCATCCTGGCTTCTAAAACCTTGAAATATTTGTTGAGTCTGAGGCAGCTAATGTTCTTTTTCTTTGTTTTGGTTTCTTTTGTATGAATAACCGCTCAGTATATTTCAAACATTGTCAGTCTATACCTTCTGGTGCCTGGCTGAGACACTGAAAATGCTTACTGAATGTGACATTATATTTTATTTTATTTTCATTTTTTCCAGTGCATGACTATGAAGCACTATTTGCTAGATGCTCTCTTACTCGTATTAGTAATGAAATTGCAGCATTCTTAACTTCTTACCTTAGCATCAGGCTGAATTCTTTTGCTTTTGGGATTAAAACTGCTCTCAAATTTGTAAATGTCCTTTACCACCAGCAGTTCCATTTTCTCTTAAAGACATTTGGGTGGAGGAGTCTATCTACTGAAGACCCTTGATTCCTGTTTATCAGGCCAGTGCCCTGCACAGAGGGAAAGCTTTCATTGTTTCTTCTGAGCTTGCTAAATGCAAGTCAAGGGAAATATGTTTTCTGCTATTTACTGACAAAAAGTAGTATATGTTTGATTTAACCATAGACACAGCTAAATGTATTGGCCACATTTGCTATAAAATCCTTGCAGAAGAACAGAATTAATTACATATCATAGAAGCCTATCATAAAATGAGATTAATCTGCCCATGAAGAAGTTGACTGTAGAGAGAGGCACAGACAACTATCTTCCTAACGTTTATAAAGCAATACTTGGGTGAGATAAAGTCGCTAAATTGTTTGTGACAGCCTTTCCATTGAGAATGTAAGGTTACTGACTCATTCTGTTGTTATTATTGCTGTTAAATACAGACTAGACTTTGAAGCTCAGATTGCCTTTGTTTTTTGAATGAATAAAATCTAATAAATAGTCATTCTTAGGTGGTTAGTACCTTCGAAAAATCAGTGTGATCTTACAATATCTCAGATACATTCGCGCAGGTTTACCCTAAATAACAACTACAAAAAGCCATAGTGGTATAATGGAAACAAGCCAGGGAGAATATGTCACAGAAGAGCAAATTATTCAAAACCATTTATTTGAATTTTGCAATGAATTTTGAAATTAATTCATTCATCCATCTTGATGTCATCTTGGCTGTTCATTTTCAATGGATGTCCATGCAGTTCCATTTTGGTAGCATGAATGTTTGCTGAAAATTACTTCCATTTGTAAAGAGTTGCCATCGTCACTTACATTCTCTTGCCTACACATTGCCCTTCCCACATGACATCACAGCCTATTCTTCCTTTGCTCTTCAAGTGCTGAATAATGTAAGCTATTTTTGCTGTTTTAATAGAGCTATGACAGTTGTCTGAATATTTGGAAGTAAAACCACTGAAGTTGTCATGATGTTTTATTATCTTAGAAAACTGTCAAACCGTTGATAATCACTTTCTTAAATTAACAAAATATGTATCTGGATTCTGTCATGTTCTTCCACACCTCTAATTTCTATTTATTTTCAGTTGACTTTGGTTTTTCAACATTTCTTTCACACTGTTCACTGCCCTTACAAGTCTTCCTTATATCACTTAAGTAAAACCTTTCA